GGGACTGCATTGATTGCTCGTGGCTGTTTCTTGTGTTGTTGGAACCTGTGCATCTCTGCTGTTCAATACGTCTTTGTTGGTGTTGTTGCATATCAGACTGCATTGGCTGTTGCTGTCTGTTTCTTGTGTTGTAAGATTCTGTTGATCTTGGGTGGTCACTGCTTCTTGCAATTGCTTTTGTAAATGTTGATGTTCTGGTGTCTTGACTTCCCGACTGTTGTTGGAATTCTGTATGTCCATGTTGCGTTGTTTGTCCTCTTGTGCTCCGTCTTGTCTCAGACTGTCTATGTCTTGTGTAACTGTGGTCTGCTGCACGATCTTGTCCATTATCACACAAGTGATTTCTTGTGTTTGTTGTTGTGAGGCGTTCTGCGTCATCTGTAGGCATTTGATAATGGTCTCTGCCATGATCTTCACGATGTTTTTCAGCTGGACCTCGGGGGTAAAGCTGTACATCAGTTGTCTTGATTCCGAAAGTAATTGTTTTTTGCTCTTTTGTATTTGGTGTATTTCTGCAGCACTTTTGTGTATTTTCTGATTTGAAATTAATAGATTCGGGAAATTTTGCTCTGTGAGAGTGTGTCTGTTGTGGCTGTGCAGGAGTGTTCCAGACGTTGGTGTTGGTGTATGTAGTGCTGGTCTGTGTGTTTATCCTGGAGTGAGCTGTCTGCACTTTTCCTTTCCGCGCAGAGCAGGTTGTGCTCCAGGCATGATGTTTGCCTCCACAATTCGGACATTTGGGTGTTGTGGCCTGGTTTGCCTTGTGCTTGTCTATACAGTCTTTGGTTGGATGTCTCAGGCTGCACACTCCGCATCTCTCCTGTCCGGTGCAGCGTGATTGATTGTGACCGTATTTCTGACATCTGAAGCTGTGCAGTGGTTCCAGGACGTATGGTCTCTGTCGGTATGTTCACCGATTTCCAAGACTGAATGTTTCTGGCACATGTACCATGACGGTCACCAGAACCTGACGTGTCGCTGCCTTGTCTACTTTTGTGCGGCATCGTTCCGTACTCAGGATTTGCTTGTGTTCCAGTACTGGATCCAGGGGAAAGTCGATTGGGTATCCCAAAAGCACGACTCGTGTGCGTCTTTCTGAAGGGTCCAGCTTTTCCAAGCATACAGGTTTTCCTTGCAGGACTTTTACTTTTTCTAAGTAATTTGCAGTCTGTTGGTCTTGTGGTGTCATTATTATTTCTCATTTCAGGTTGACTGTAATGGAAAGTTTGAGCTCTGGTTGTTCTTTTTCCATTGCCGTTACTGCTCCATATGCTGCAGGAAAGTGGTCTGTCTGTATTATCTTGAATTTTGGAAGATGTGCAGAGTCTGGCGATTTCTGGTGTGAGGCTGATGGTGTCCTCTCCTGTCTCATACTGTTGTCCTGTGGCTGGGATGTGGAGAGAGGTACATTGTCTGACACTCGCTGGTGTGTGACTGGTGCTGTCCTCTCCTGTCTCATACTGTCGTCCTGTGGCTGGGTTGTGGACAGAGAAGCATTGTCTGATACTGGCTGGTGTGTGACTGATGCTGTCCTCTCTAGGTCCATTACGTCTGCTGTGGCTGCCTCTATGTCCTCTTTCTCTTAGCCTTCCCCATGGCTCTTTCCACGTATTGAGGACCGAATCACTGCCCTAACTAATGCCTGAGACACTCCTAGGCCTGGAGAAATTCATTTCCCCCCAACGGAGGTCGTAGAATGATTCCCCCAGATGGAATCAGGGATACCTAACACCTAAATGAGCTGTTTGGTCTACCTTTCCCTGTCAGGCTCAGCACACCTTCTAAGGTGCTCCCTTATGGCAATGCCCATGGGATATCGCCTCGCCCTTCAGGGTAGGACTCAAAGTGACCTGGTCAGTGATACGTCCACAAAAAAAAGTGCGGTATGAGAGTTTGGGTCGCCTGCATACTGGGTTGCACAGAATACCAGTCAGCTGGACAGCAGGTAATCAACAACGTTGTTTCTCCATCAATTGTAGACGAAATAGGAATTGTTTCCTTCAAAGCAAGATATTGCCTGAGTCTTGGAGTACTGATGTATTCTTCCTCACAAAACCGTGATGGATTGAGCTGATGGGTGCTCAGAATCGTGAATTTTTCCGAGAACAAATCCGTGCGCGGCCAGCTAGCTATGGCGCCGGCAGCGGGTCCATTTCATAGTAATAGTGCAGTGTCCATCCAGCTATTTCCAATATCCAGATGTGTTTATATATCATCAATCCTACCAAACCAGACCCAACCTAACACAGTCAAGGCCAAATTTAACCCAATTTAAGGCACTTTTTCACTTTATTTGGCCCAATTTATTCAAATTTAAGACATTTCCTGCTAAATGTACCCCAATTTATCCAAATTTAAGAAAATTTCCACCAAAGTTACCCGAATTTACCGTATCAAAGCAAAGCCAAAACCCAATTTGCCCAAGTTTCACCCATGCCATACAAATTTAAGGCGTATATCTAATATCAAATATGCAGTCACTCCATGTCATACACTATTCCCATGACCATTTCATTGTAATAGTGCAGTGTTCATCCCGCTATTTCCAATATCAAGATGTGTTCATCTTTCATAAATCCTACCAAACCAGACCCAACCTAACAAAGCTAAGGCTAAGTTTTACCAAATTTATCTCAATTTATAATTTTTTTCTTAACCTAGCTTATAAATGGGGGTTTATTCATTCCCTCTTTTCTTGAAACTCGGGTATATTATGGAAATTAAGTTGGGAATATATTTTCACATTGTCCTAATTTAACCCAAATTTATCCCTAATTTAATGCAAATTTGTCCTTAATTTACCCGAATTTCAAAAAAAGGGGGTGGGAATGTAAACCCCCCATTATAAACTAGGTTAAGGAAAATTGGATTATTTAATGGTAAAGATATGGTAAATCCTGTCACTTTTCCTAAGATTATGTGTAAAAATGGAGTTCAGATCCAAGACCCATGAGGTAGGGTTGTGGTTGAACTGATATATAGAAAAATTACCATTAACCCCATAGGTAATAGAGGTTAGGTTGGAATGGGATGGTTGTATTCTATGAATAAGATGCCATATATTGAAACAAGATCTTGGTATCAGGGGTGGGGACCAAGGCAGTGCGGTTGGGTTGATGAAGTACATAACTTTTACCAAAAAATAAGGTGAACATGAAGTTAGGTCAAGGCCGGTTAGGCACAGGAAGGCTGAGTTGATTAGTGAAAAAACACTTTCCTAGTAAGACAGTTGCAGTGTTGAACTTAGATCCAGGCGGGTTTGGCACAGGACGGTTAGGTTCATTTCCAAAAACAAAAACACTTTCCTAAGAATATAGAAACAATATTCAACAAAGACCCGAGTAGGATGGTTGCAGGTCATTTACATTGATATCCATAAATCAACTTTTCAGGTTTATGCATCAACATCAACAATTTCATAACAATGAAGTTGTAATATCCAGCAAAGATCTGTACGGGTTAGGCATAGGTCATTTAGGTTTATACCCAAAATCAAACCTTTTCTTAACTGGGCTGCTCTAATTTTGCTGGATTGACGATAGAAAAAAACACATCTAGATATTGGAAAATAGCTGGATGGACACAGCACTATCATTATGAAATGGTCTTGGGAATACTGTATGATATATAGCAAATGGATATTTGATTTTGGAAATACACATTAAATTTATATGGAATAGGTGAAACTTACGGACAAATTGGGCTTTGGCTGTGCTATGATATGACAAAATCGTGTAAATATGCTGGAAATTGTTTTAAATTCAAATAAATTTGGATAAATTGGGGCAAATTTGGTGGAAATTATCTTAAATTGAGATAAATTTATTTTAATATGGCCTTAGCCTAGTTAAGACTATGAAATGGTCTTAGGAATGGGATATGACATGGGCTGACTGGATATTGGATATTGGAAATATATATTAAATTTAAATGGAATATGGGGAAAAATTGGGCTTTGGCTGTGTTATGATATGACAAAATCGAGTAAATTTGGCGGAAATTGTCTTAAATCTGGGTAATTTTTAACAAATTGGGGGCAAAGTTGGCAGAAATTGTAAATTGAGATAAATTTGATTAAATTTGGCCTTAGCCTTGGGCTCACTATACTATTCACTTATGCTTCTCAAATCCTGAACTCTATTCACATTTTTTGTTCAATTGCTAACGTATTATAACCAAAACTCATTTTCAATATACTCACACCATTGAAATACACATTTCTCCATGCCAAACATGTTCTAACTTGTTACACGAAGCCCATAAAACACAATAAAAAAGGCACAGTTAGGTGAGCACAAATTGACCTCACCCAAAAAAATTCACTATTCCGCCCTCAGAGGTCTAGTCGACGCAACACTCTCCAATTGTTTCTGAAAATGAATTCCTGTTTGTCTCGTTTTACACTACTGATCTCTTATATATTTCTTATGTTCTTCTTCATTTAAAAATGAAGATGAAATATTATCTTTCCAAAAGTAATTTTTTCTGTTTTAGTACAGCATGATACCTAGAGAATCTGTTTTGCTTACCATCTCAGAGGCAGATAACATGTGACTACAGTTTGGCTGAAGCAGCACTCGATATAATCTAGAGTGAGATGAAGAGTCACATGGGGCCAATAGGATCACCACAGGTTACCCATCTCCCAAGTTTTAATGATTACTGAGACACTATGTTGCATGTTGCGCCTTGGTATCCAAAATGGCAGAGTGACATTGTGGCAGGTGGCTGTTGATGACTGGCTGGGATTGTCTCATGTGCAGTGCCTTGCTCATGGCCAGTCACTGTATCTGTCGATTGTAACACTAAAATAATCACCAGATACAACAGTAGAAGAGTGGACATCGGCGAGGCGCTGCACATCACATAAATTCAGTCAACTAACATCAGCCAGCTATCACCTTGTTCATGTCTACCGTCTTCAATACCAACATGGGACGACCAGCATACTGTCCTGCGATCTTTATAACATAGGAGATAGATAAGTGGCAGTGGGCCTAATGGCCAAAGTATCTCTTATACATGTTTCTAAATTACGCAGTAAGTTTTTAAATCAATAGTTTGCATGTGAAACATTTGGTTCCATGTTGTTTACTGTATGTGTGTGTGTGTGTCCACAGTCGTGCCGGTGGCCACCATCAGCATCAGCGGGGGAGGAGGAGGGGGCGAGGCCGGTGTTCGTGAGGGCGGCTCTGTCACCTTCACCTGTCACCTCAAGGCCAATCCTAAGGTCTATAACGTCACCTGGTTTCATAACGTAAGTCTCATTAGCAACATGCACAGTAACGAGCCATACTCTCGTTACTGCCCTGGTGAGAGGAGCGTCGAGGCAGGAGAACGGTCAGGTGATTAGACACCTGGTGGTTAAGTATGAACGCTTCATGATGTCAGAAAGCTTCATTCACTCGGACCTTAATTAAAATCTCGGATCAGTGAACTTTCTGACGTCATGAAAAGTATGAGACAAATGAATTGGCCAATTTTTGGTTCCAATCAATCTCTTCAGCCTTCGATGTCCCTCTTACCAAATGAATAATGAACAACATCTCATGTCTCTGTAACATTCGATAATTCAGATTACTGTTAGGCAAGTGTGAGGGATGTTGACTCGCCCTCACCCACCCTTTCACCTCCAATTCTAAGATATAATGACCAGAAACACTGAAATATTTATTGAATGTAATGACATTACGGGATTACACACAGCCGAATCACAACCCATCACACACTCGTATGCACTCGTATCGGGGGCATACGCCAGCCTGGCTAACATCAGAACTGCCTTCAGAAACCTGTGTAAGGAATCCTTCAGAACCTTGTATGCTATATAGGTAAGGCACTACATGGGGTGTGTGAGTGCATGTGTGTGTGTGTGTGTGTATTCACCTAGTTGTTCTTGCGGGGGTTGAGTTCTGCTCTTTCGGCCCGCCTCTCAACTGTCAATCAACCGTTTCTAACTACTATTATTCCCCCCCCCCCAAACACACACACATAGTATGTGTGTGTGTATTTTGGTAAAAGTATTTTGGAAGAAAATGCCACAATAAAAGCAACATTGGCAGAAATGCTAAAAAACAAAAACTCTGAAGTAATGTCTGCAGTGATGGAGGTAGCCATGAAAGCAGCCACCTCACAGGAAGTGGCACGCTCCACTTGCCAGCTGCTGGAAAGGAAAAAAGATCAGTGGTAGCTGTGGGTATTAAAGAGCAGGAAGGCTCTAATAGGAAAGAGTGGAATGATAAGGACAAAGCAGCAGTGAATAAAATACTGAAGGCACTAGACATCGAAGGGGCTGAGCATAGCATTGAGAAGGTTTTCAGGCTAGGCTGGTACAAAAAAGACCGACCCCGTGTGTTAAAGATAGTGTTTGCAAATGAGAACACAAAGGAGAGGATTCTAACAAAGAAAAGCCACCTGCAACATGTGGAAGAATTAAAAAAAAGTATTCCTCCAGAGGGACATGACTTGGGAGGAGAGGGCCATGGTGGTAGAAGCAAGGAAGAAGTGCAGGGCGATAGGGGTAAACCAGGAAATCACAGCTCACAACACATCATCCCCAGAGGCGAGGGGGGGGGGGAACCCACAACCAGCTACCCAGTATTACCAGCAAGGAAGGCAATCCCACCACCCTCCTCTGCATAGAAAACCCCCCTACCCCAAACCTTCCCTGCCCCCACTCAAATACTCAGCCAAATCTCCCTCCCCCCCACACCCAATCCGCCCCCTTCTACGCCTCCTCTCCTCCCGCCGAGTCCCCCCTCCTCTCTTTTCCTTCCGTCCTCCCTCCCCTTTCACCCCATACCCCCTCCCTGTCCCTCCCCCTTCACTTGACCCCCCACCCCTCATCCCAGTATCCTCTGCGACCCTGTTATTCACCTCACAAATCCATACACCCATGGAACAGCTTCCCCCACCAGCAGAACACTCACCAAGGGGGCGATTTGAGAAGGGACAGAAGAAAGTGAGCCTCAAGGCAATGTAAACTAACATAGATGGAATTACAAATAAAGCAAATGAACTTGGAGAATGGATACTAGAGGAAAACCCAGACATAATAGCTCTCACAGAAACAAAGCTAACGAAAACCATAACAAATGCAGTGTTCCCACAGGACTATTATGTTATGAGGAAAGAGAGAGAAGGAAGAGGTGGTGGTGGTGTAGCTCTGCTGGTAAGAAAAGGCTGGGATTTTGGGGAGATGGTTGTTCAGGGATGTGAAGGTTTCAGTGACTACATAACAGGTACCATACCAACTGGAGGGTAAAATATTATAGTCGTAGTCATATATAATCCACCACCAAATGACAGAAGACCCACACAGGAATATGATAGAAACAACATGGCCACCATTAACATAATAGAGAGAGCAGCTTCTGTTGCTAACAGGAATGGATCTGGACTACTAATCATGAGAGACTTCAACCATGGGAAGATAGTTTGGGAGAACAGAGACCCGCATGGAGGACCAGAAACATGGATAGCTAATCTGCTGGTCGTGTGACAACAAGAAACTTTCTAAGCCAGCACATCAAGGAACCAACAAGAATGAGAGGAGAAGATGAACCAGAAATGCTTGATTTGTTATTTACCCTAAATACGTAGGATATAAGGGAAGTCAAGATGAAAGCACCCTTGGGAATGAGTGATCACAGTGTATTGAACATTGAATACCTGGTAGAGCTAGGAATTATTTCCCCCCAAAAGAACTAGGAAACAAAAGGAACTTACAGAATAACAGAACACCAGAGAGCAGAGAGAGATACCAGAGAACCAGGAATGAGTGTGTCAGGGTGAGAAAAGAAGCAGAGAAAAGTTATGAAAATGATATAGCAAACAAAGTCAAGACCGAACCAAAGCTACTCCACAGTCACATCAGAAGGAAAACAACAGTGAGAGAACAGGTAGTGAAACTTAGAACAGGCGAGGACAGGTATACAGAGAATGACAAAGAGGTGTGTGAAGAACTCAACAAGAGGTTCCAGGAGGTCTTCACAATAGAACAAGGTGAAGTCACTGTGCTAGGAGAAAGGGAAGTAAACCAGGCGGCCTTGGAAGGGTTCGAAATTACGTGAGAGGAGGTCAAGAGACACCTGTTGGATCTCGGTGTTAGAAAGGCTGTTGGTACAAACGAGATCTCGCAATGGGTACTGAAAGAGTGTGCAGAGGCACTTTGCTTGCCACTCTCCATAGTGTATAGTAGGTCACTGGAGATGGGAGACCTACCAGAAATATGGAAGACTGCGAATGTGTCCAAATATACAAAAAGGGCGACAGGCAATAGGCACTGAACTACAGGCCAGTGTCCTTGACTTGTATACCATGCAAGGTGATGGAGAAGATCATGAGAAAAAACCTGGTAACACATCTGGAGAGAAGGGACTTTGTGACAAATCGCCAACATGGGTTCAGGGAGGGTAAATCTTGCCTTACAGGCTTGATAGAATTCTACGATCAGGTGACACAGATTAAGCAAGAAAGAGAGGGCTGGGCGGACTGCATTTTCTTGGATTGTTGGAAAGCCTTTGACACAGTACCGCATAAGAGGCTGGTACATAAGCTGGAGAGACAGGCAGGTGTAGCTGGTAAGGTGCTCCAGTGGATAAGGGAGTACCTAAGCAATAGGAAGCAGAGAGTTACGGTGAGGGGTGAGACATCCGATTGGCTTGAAGTCACCAGTGGAGTCCCACAGGGCTCTGTACTCGGTCCAATCTTGTTTCTGATATATGTAAATGATCTCCCGGAGGGTATAGATTCATTTCTCTCAATGTTTGCGGACGATGCCAGAATTATGAGAAGGATTAAGACAGAAGAGGACTGCTTGATGCTTCAAGAAGACCAAGACAAGCTGAAGGAATGGTCGAACAAATGTTTGCTAGAGTTTAATCCAACCAAATGTAACGTAATGAAGATAGTTGTAGGGAGCAGGAGGCCAGATACAAGGTATCATCTGGGAGAGGAAATTCTTCAGGAGTCAGAGAAAGAAAAAGACTTGGGGGTTGATATCACGCCAGACCTGTTTCCTGCAGCTCATATCAAGAGGATAACATCAGCAGCATACGCTTTGGCCTGTCCAACATACGCACGGCATTCAGAAACTTGTGTAAAGAATCATTCAGAATTTTGTATACTACATATGTCAGGCCAATCCTGGAGTATGCAGCCCCAGCATGGAGTCCATATCTAGTCAAGGATAAGACTAAAGTGGAAAAGGTTCAAAGGTTTGCCACCAGACTAGTACCCGAGCTGAGAGGTATGAGCTATGATGAGAGACTACGGGAATTAAACCTCACTTTGCTGGAAGACAGAAGAGTTAGAGAGGACATGATCACCACATTCAAGATTCTTTAGGGAATTAATAGGGTAGATAAAGACAGTCTTTTTAACACAAGGGGCACACGCACAAGGGGACGCAGGTGGAAACTGAGTGCCCAAATGAGCCACAGAGATATTAGAAAGAACTTTTTTAGTGTCAGAGTGGTTGACAAGTGGAATGCATTAGGAAGTGCTGTGGTGGAGGCTGACTCCATACACAGTTTCAAGTATAGATATGATAGAGCCCAATAGGCTTAGGAATCTGTACACCTGTTGATTGACGGTTGAGAGGCGGGACCAAAGAGCCAGAGCTCAACCCCCGCAAACACAACTAGGTGAGTACAACTAGGTGAGTACACACACACCAGGAAGCAGCCCGTGACAGCTGACTAACTCCCAGGTACCTATTTACTGCTAGGTAACAGGGGCACAGGGGGAAAGAAACTGTGCCCATTGTTTCTCGCCGGCGCCCGGGATCGAACCCGGGACCATAGGATCACGTGCCCAGCGTGCTGTCCGCTCGGCCGGCCGGCCCGTGTGAGTACTCACCTAATTATACTCACCTAATTGTGCTTGCGGGGGTTGAGCTTTGGCTCTTTGGTTCCCCCTCTCAACTGTCAATCAACTGGTGTACAGATTCCTGAGCCTACTGGGCTCTATCATATCTACATTTGAAACTGTGTATGGAGTCAACCTCCACCACATCACTTCCTAGCGCATTCCATTTATTAACTACTCTGACACTGAAAAAATTCTTTCTAACGTCTCTGTGGCTCATCTGGGTACTAAGTTTCCACCTGTGTCCCCTTGTTCGTGTCCCACCCGTGCTGAAGAGTTTGTCTTCGTCCACTCTGTCAATTCCATTGAGAATTTTGTAGGTGGTTATCATGTTTCCCCTAACTCTTCTGTTTTCCAGGGATATAAGGTTCAGCTCCTTTAGCCTTT